TCCATCCGTCTGTTTGTCCAAAATAACTTTGACATTGCCCATAACTTTTGATTGGTTAGAGTTATGTCTGATCCAGCATCAACAGCCAGTGTGGTGATGTGCATTCATAGAAGCATCAGCCATGCACACATTTACTTTGGAATGAAACCTCAAAAACATTTAACCTGTATTGTCATCCAGGAAAAGAAGATCAGATCCTGCATCCTAAGCAAGTTAGGTGTACATCCCATGACGCATACATGATCCACGCAACTTTGGCCTAGCTATAAGACTTATAGTTACCTGAGAATGAGACCTGCTCTTTAAAATTTAATGGGAAGCCAAAGTCTATGTCAGAGCATGAGCTCATCTTGACTTTCTCTAGGGGCTAATATTTTGTCAGACAATTTTGAAAAAATATTTAATTTTCATTAACAGTTCATGAATTTAATCTTACAAGGCAGGCTTCGCTTTACATAAGCATTTTCCTTTTAATGTAATTATGCAATGTTTCCTAGCTCTGTTCATGGACTACTAATTTGTATTGTAAATTCAGTACCATAATGGATAATATGTTCCTTGTTAAGATTTCCTTATTGCTGATGGATATGATAAATTAAAACTTCAAAGCATGGAAAATGTGTTCTTAAAATGACAACACATTTTACTTTGAATTCCTTTATCATAATACCAGGTGTATACATGTATTATGGTAAGGTATCGTATGACCATGAGATTATATGTCAACTAAAAATCACTGAATTTGGGGAGGAGAGGAGAAAAGGGGGAGGGGGGGGGGGGGGGAATGTGTGTTGAGTCAGACCTCTACCACCACCACTGAAATCTTATTAGCTCACCTGAGCCGAAGGCTCAAGTGAGCTTTTCTGATCACATTTTGTCCGGTGTCCGTCTGTCTGTCCGTCTGTCTGTCTGTAAACTTTTCACATTTTCGACTTCTTCTCAAGAACCGCTGGGCCAATTTCAACCAAACTTGCCACAAAGTATCCTTGGGTGAAGGGGATTCAAGTTTCTTCAAATGAAGGGCCACGCCCTCATTCAAGGGGAGATAATTGGGAATTAATGAAAATTTGGTGGGATATTTTAAAAATCTTCTTCTCAAGAACCACTGTGCCAGGAATTATGAAACTTATGGGGAAACATCCTCAGGTAGTGTAGTTTCAAGTTTGTTCAAATCATGACCCCCGGGGGTAGGGCGGGGCCAAAATGGCCGACCAAACTTTTACATAGAAATATATAGGAAAATTCTTTAAAAATCTTCTTCTCAAGAATGACAAAGCCATAATTCATCATATTTATATGGGAGCATGCTCAGGTAGTGTAGATTAAAGTTTGTTCAAATCATGACCCCCGGGGGTAGGGTGGGGCCAAAATGGCCGACCAAACTTTTACATAGAAATATATATAGGAAAATTCTTTAAAAATCTTCTTCTCAAGAATGACAAAGCCATAATTCATCATATCTATATGGGAGCATGTTCAGGTAGTGTAGATTCAAGTTTGTTCAAATCATGACCCCCCGGGGTAGGGCGGGGCCAAAATGGCCGACCAAACTTTTACATAGAAATATATAGGAAAATTCTTTAAAAATCTTCTTCTCAAGAATGACAAAGCCATAATTTATCATATTTATATGGAAGCATGCTCAGGTAGTGTAGATTCAAGTTTGTTCAAATCATGACCCCCAGGGGTAGGGCGGGGCCAAAATGGCCGACCAAAGTTTTTGAAGATATATATAGGAAAATTCTTTAAAAATCATTTTCTAAAAAATAGCAAATCCATGATTGGTCATGGGACTACTTTTGGATTTAAACTTTACAATAAAAAGCCATTTTCTACTTTTTCCTACCCTTAGTGCTCAGGTGAGCGATGTGGCCCATGGGCCTCTTGTGTAACAGTATGTCAGAGTCCATTTCTCAAATTGATATATATAAAGTTACAAGTTATTATTTCTTGTCAAACACACAAGTTCATTCAGTTACTTTTCTACAAAACACCTTAAATCAGTTAAATTTCTCCATGAAATAAAAATTTGTGCTTTAAAGAATAGGTTTTCTTGTACAATGTATCACTCTTAAAATGATATATAGCAACTCTCACATAAAAATCAATTTTTGTGTACTTGGTAGCAATAGTTTCCAAATATTTACATAAGTTTGGATCAACAACCCCCACTCACCACCCAGATTTATCCATGTGGAAGTACGGCCAATTTTAGCAACTAATTGTTTTTATTTAACAAATATTCAATACACTTTTTGAAGGTTCCGTTCAATGAAATGCAAAAACCCTAACACTAGTGTTAATTGTTGTTAAATATTGAGGTGTAAAGCCCGCTTAAGTCACTTTGAAGTTGTTAATTAACTCTGTATTCAAAGAAGAATGGATATAATAGGAATGAAAGAAAAAGTGAGCTAGCTCACATACCCCACGCTCCCCCAAAACTTGACGGTGAAACACATAATGAAAGGCACAGTGCACTTTAAATACATAGTATAGATCAAAAAGGGCAATAATTGTAAAAAAAATCTTCACATCAAAATGTTTTGCACATTACGACATTTAAATGTGGAAAGAAATTTCTAGACAAATAATTGAATCAAAAGTTCTTGGCATTATACAAATCCAAACATGAATTTGAAGTGGTTGGGGTGGGGGTGGGGGGGGGGGGGTGAGAAATTTTCTTGAATAATAGGCAAAACTCTTTGGGATAAAATAATGGAATATGTCCTAAATATCTGCATAGGTTGACAAAACTATGTACAACAGTTTAACAGGAGTGGTGCTGACAAACTGTTCATTTCTATATTCAAATATGGCCAAAAAGTCTAAGTTAAAAAGTGCGGAAATTCCCGGAAAAAATAATGGAATCGGAATTTCCTGGCAATATGCACATCTACACATTGTGTCCTAAATACCTGCAAAGTTTGACGAAATTCTGTGCAGCGGTTTATGAGGAGTTGCGCTGACAAACTGTTCATCTGTATATTCAAGGTATGGCCAAATGTCCAAGTTAAAAAGTGCGGAAATTCCCGGAAAAAATAAGGAATCGGAATTTCCTGGTAATATGCACATCTACACATTGTGTCCTAAATACCTGCAAAGTTTGACGAAATTCTGTGCAGCGGTTTATGAGGAGTTGCGCTGACAAACTGTTCATCTGTATATTCAAGGTATGGCCAAATGTCCAAGTTAAAAAGTGCGGAAATTCTCGGAAAAAATAATGGAATCGGAATTTCCTGGTAATATGCACATCTACACATTGTGTCCTAAATACCTGCAAAGTTTGACGCAATTCTGTGCAGCGGTTTATGAGGAGTTGTGCTGACAAACTGTTCATCTCTATATTCAAGGTATGGCCAAATGTCTAAGTTAAAAAGTGCGGAAATTCCCAAAAAATAATTTTTCCTGGTAATATGCACATCTACACATTATGTCCTAAATACCTGCAAAGTTTGACAAAATTCTGTGCAGCGGTTTATGAGGAGTTGCGCTGACAAAAAAAGAGGACTGACTGACTGACGGACTGACTGACTGACTGACTGACTGACGGACGGGTCAAAAACATTATACCTCCCGCAACTAGTTGCGTGGGGTATAATTAAAAGAAAGCAATACAAAGCCTACCTGAGACTTAGGCCCAACATTTTTTTTCTTTTCAATACTTAGGTAGAAGGTAAATGGATGTTAGATTTACTGGTAATATTTGATCAGAATGACTGTCATGCGATTATCACCACCTAAACATGGGAACCTATTTATGCTTTTCTACCATAACCCATTTACAAATGCCCTTCATTGGAAAATAAATTTTACTCGGGCTCAACAGACTTTTATAAGGAACTTCCTGGTTGTCATGTGGCTCTTTTGAATATTCTGTCAATGCACAAAATAATGATCAAGAAATTCCAAATGATATCAACTACCTACTAGGGCTGTGTATTGAGCCAAAAATTTCGATACGATACGATACAATATTTTTTAAAGCGATATGCGATATATTGGATTCTAAAACAAGTCCATCAGAAAAGGCTTATTCATCATTTTAATGCATAACTTTCATAATAATTAAGTGTTATATTACCCATTTTAAACTTCTTGTCTCATTGACATTACAAATAACACTTCAAATGAAAACTTTTTATGACATTAAAAAAATTCAAATTCAATTGTCTTTGTATTTTGTAACAGTTATAAAAACTGTGTTATTTCCTTACAAATTATATTATTATTGAACAGTTTTATCTCAAAAAAGTGAAATATAATCTTTGGTGATTGAAATTCCCATCTTTATAACTGAATTAGAAGAAAAGCTATTTGTCCGATACATATTGGAAGTTATTTTTCGATACGATATTTTTCTTGAATATCGATACGTATGGATATATCAATATATTGATACAGCCCTACTACCTACTGTAAATCACTATTTATTCGCGAGAACTTTATTTTCGCATAATTAAACGAGACAATATGCTCGCGAAAATTTCATTCTCGCGTTTAATAGTATTCCTTAAGATTATATAGAGCAATGATCATAATTCGTGAAAATTTTGTCTCGCTAATAAAGAGTCAATGACTATCTCGCGAAAATAAGGTGTCGCGAAAATTAAGTGATCTACAGTACCATAGAAAGACCACTTATTAAAAGTGTAAGAACACAAAACTATGACATAGTTCATAACTGAATGCAAGGGACAAAACTGCAATTCAAACTAGAAATTTACATTCTAAAATGGGAAAGACTACTACAGGGCTATTCAGTTTTGTTTGAGATGATACAACTTCCCCGCAATGTATGTATTTAATTTTTTTTTAATAAGCTAAAATCCCACTTTGGCATAGACATCAATGTCCTAATTTGTGAATGCATGATTCAATCAATAAAAAATTTGATGCACCAAATATATTTTACAAATTGATATCACAGTCTATTTTCAATCAATTTGTACAGAATGCTTTCAAGTTAACTTTTGTTTTTACTTTTGGCAGTCAATTCTAACCTGAATCATCAAATGGATTCTCATCCTCTTCTGATTCTGACGGAGAGTCAACTGGAATGTCATCTGTGGAAAAAATAAAGATTCTTTATTTATACTGTAGCAATTTCTTAATGTTACTAACCACTTCATCCAAAAAAAAAATTAATCCACATATATGCAAAACTTTATCTATTTTCATCTAAAAAATGGATATATATATATTTTTTATTCTTTTATTTTTAATTTTCAGTACTGTGAAAAAAAAAAAACTATGCTGAATATTTGGTTGTAAAAGAGCATACTTTTTACTACAAACAATCATATACTGAAATAAGGTGTATTTCTAAAGTACTTGCAACAAAGACCAAAATCTAATTATGTTTGTAACTTTCTCTTGTACATTGATTTGAATATTGTTTTAATCTTTTGTTTCATTTAACAAGAATTTAACAAGATATTCTTATGATAGCAATTTCAAACAGAATCATTAATTTTACAGAATTTTACAATCAACTTAAGTTTTTGGTCTTAGTCGTAAGTTCTTTTGTAAAATGGGCCCCAGAACCCAAGGTTGTTGAAAAAAGATTTGATTTTCTTCTCATGGACACCCTGCTTCTCTACATATTGTCTTGCGAAATTTTATAGAGGTACTTATAAGAAACCTTAGTGGTTACTGGAAAATCTGCTGCACTTGAACAAATTACATCACAGTGAAGGTAACAAACAAACAAGGTTTTATTATCATGATTATAGAGTAACATAAGGACAGAGCATTGCTTTGCTGTTGGTGGTGGTTTTTTGGGGGGTGGGGTTAAGGGGGTAATAATATCTTTTTCCACCATCTTGGGTTCTATACTTAAGATAAGCTTTGATCTTATAGTCAAAGTAGGCAAACACAACATCTCAAATTATTTTAAGAACTTTTGTGCCTGTGTCCCTCCATGAGCTTTCCTGTTTACAAATTTTAATGCTTTAATATTCCATCAACCTACCTTCAAAACCCAGTTGCTTTTTCCACAGTTCTGATCTGGAGGGGGAGGGGACTGGTTTATTACCCACAATCCTGGGGCTGTAGGACATCGGGGTTCTGAAGGCTGGCTCCTATATAAAGTAACAAATAAAATATGAAGAGCAAAATACAAAGACGACCTTAGAAACTTTTCAAAACAGCTATAAATGCAGTATCACATCTACCATGCAAAATTTATATGACAAAAATATTCTTCACCTCAAATTGGCTCAAAATATATGAATTACTGTAGAAGTACTTTTTTCCGCGTGGTATTAATTTACACTATGTACATGGTCACAAATATTCCGCGGAATATTGTCCAAGCGTACTTAATATAAATGTAAGGGATATAGTGACAGTCTAAGAAATCCGCATAATTTTCAACCCGCGGATTAAACGGAAATTGAGATTCCGCTGAATTATGACCAGGTGGAAAAAAGTACATCTACAGTACTTTTTTTCTTTTAAATACTGATGATTCTTATTTGTTACAAGAATAAGTATTACCTTCATTTTTGGTCCTCCAGGGGTAAAGGCCTTTTTAGCACTCATTTTGTTAAAAGCTACAAGAAAAGTATAAGTCATAAATGAAATTAAAAATTTTCTTCATAGAAAACTTCTTCAGAATACCATCAAGATTTCCTTAAGAAAATTCAACTTTCTTCTCCACAATTACCAAATTTTCTGATCATCTTCCAGAATTTTGGACCCAGGATTTAGAAATTCCAAAATGTAAATGGTTTAGAATGTATATTCCTTGAGGCCACAATAAATCCAACACCACAGAAAAAAAATTTACTTCAACACCACATTCACAGAAACCACAAAACAACAAAGGAACTATGACAGAATTTCGGTAGTAGACTCGGGCGATTAGGAACGGTCAGGTACTAACAATAGACACTGCAAATTAGCCCTTCCTAATCTTCCGATATAATACTCTGCCAAAGTTTTCTTAATCTTTCTTAATTACATTACATGGCTCTTTTCTGTAGAAATACTTTTAAAATTTCCAGTTTTAAATGGATTAATCATTCCCATCAAAATTAAAAGTTCTTGTTTTGTGTGAATAGTAAAATGACATTGACTGGTACGTTTATAATGGAGAAATTAGATTTATCACCGACACAGGGCTATTGTGTAATTCATATTGACACAAGTTTCTACAATCAAACATATACACTTGAAAAGAAAGAAGAATGGCAGAATTTGAATATTGACAGTAACAATTTAATATGTGTAGCTCCTGAAGTTACAAGCACTGTTGTCAAAGCTAATCCTTTCATTATCCTTTCATAATTGTTACAAATTTCTACCAAATTTGAAGAAAAAAAAAGCTTCAAAGCACCTTGGCTAAGGATTGACCAATCGGCCAGATAAACATGATTAAGGAGACCGTTCAACTTTTTAAAGAATCCCCAACTTCTACAATTCAAGAGACCATCTTTGGAGGTACGCACCTCTATCAAGTACCAATCTGCAAAACTCTGTCCTACTTTTGTGTCAAACTCTACCACTACATGTACTGTAAAACAATTTGTCAAAGTGTATTACTTACAAAATTGAAATGAATAGAAGTTTTATAGCAATTAAAGCATTTATTTTTCAAACAGTCACCAAATAGGGATATATCCACCACTTGTCTTTGGGGCTTGCCAGAACCATGTTGGGTATGTTTAACAGAATATACTGACAGGAATTAGTAATTCCATAGTGGTATTTGTCAATGTTCAATCGAGACATTTTAGAATTGTAAACTGTGATTCATTTTGAAATCATGGTAACTGTCAACTCAAATTTATGTTGTTTGATTTGAAAAAAAAAAAAATCAAACTTACATAGTTGTACACCAGAACCAGGTTTGAGATAATAAACTTATTAAGTGCCCTTCAAGTTCTTTTACCCTTCGTTTGAAAATGAAAATCATTCAAGTCCATATTCCATATATATATATATATACAATTTCTGTATCCTCAAATTAAAAGGTCAGAAGAATCACAAGAGATTATTGTGTTCATACCCATTTTTGAATAGTAAAATTGCATAAACTACCCAGAGGGAAAAGTTGTTCTACAATTTACAAAGGCCTTCAACTTCACAACAGTTCTGTTATTATGGAATGTCTTTCTCTTTGAAGTATCAACAACCTGATTAATTCTCTCTACAAAACATAATGATATACCTCCACAAATCACTATAAGCTTTTCTATATTTAAACTGTGTTTTTTTCCTCAGTGATAAAGACCCACCTGTTAATCCCTTTCAGGTCCTAAGAGGATTAGCTGGGATAAGGATTATCTACCTGTTCTCTGTTTTAATTCTTATGTAACTGAAACACTGCGATCTGAAAAACAAGAGGATAAAGTCAGGTCTTTGAGTCAATATGTTCAGGACTGAGGACTTATAAAATCTATTCCAACAATTTAAGGGTGTTTGCGGTCATATTAGGTTTATGTTTACAATTGTTTTAGAAACACAGTACTATTTTTTTAAAGTTGTTGTTTAACTCCTCTTTGCCAGAGAAAGGAAGATGCATAATTATTTTAATAATTACTAAATAGAATCAGTATATTTTTTTAATACTCTATAGGGAAAAAACAGGGCATTTCTCTTGATGATTCCAGTTTTTTTAATTCATTCAGATTTTTATCAGAAAACCATAATAAACATAATAAAATTTATTTACATTGCATGACAGCCAGGTAAATATCTTTTTCATTGTATGAATAATATCAATAAGATTCCTGATTAAAGAATTTCAATTCAGTATGTGATATTAAAACCCTGAACAAATTGACACCTACCTATCATATTCCAGTAGAGGTATATGACATTTCCACCAATAATAAAAGTTGTCAAGCCACTCTGTTAGATCAAGCTACTCCACTTCAAATTTCCTTCCTTACAAGCCCCTCTTCTGACAGAAGCTGTTCTGTAACAGCAGCTAAAACAAATCAATACACACCATTATTTGAACAAGCAAGGTAATGGCCAAAGTAAAAAAAAAATTCCTGTGAAGCCATCAATAGAAAGCTCGAGTACCATATATTGACTTTTTGTTATACCCGATAATATGAAAATTACCATACTCATACTTTATGACACATTACTGCCAACAAAGTGACAATTTTTTTTATACTGTGCAGAAACTGACTTTCTGATTTTTGAAATAAAGAATTAACTTTTCGAGACTTTAATTCTAGTCCCACATTTTATTGTGAAGAAATCAATACACAACTTTTATAAACTTGGGCCCTTGTAGTGATTCAAACATTTAAAAAACTTGAGATATTTACCCAGAGCTGTAAAAATACTGCAATAGGCCAAAGTTTATGTTTGGAAACTAAACTAACTTTAAGAGAAGTTTTGATCTGTTATTGATTTCTCTTTTGATTGTCTTTCAAAGTCTCCCCAGGACCCAAAATTATAGAAATCCAACTCAGCATAAAAATCCCATTAGTGCTGCAACTGCAGTTGTATAAGACAATGGAAAAGAATGCATACTTAGACTGCTAGTCTCTCTGGTAATTACACTATAGGAACAATGCATTCATGAATAAATCATTTTCATTTTCAATAAAACTCATTTAGTCAAACTTTGTTATCTCGAACTCATTGGACGAAGAAAACATTTGAGATGTCCAAGAATTTGTGATATCTAGGGTAAGATATTCATAGAATAAATTGTTGGGACTTCTAATTTACTTCAGCATATCCATGGAACTGTAACTCACTTTTTATTCGTGAGAACTTTATTTTCACGTAATTACACCAGACAGTGTGCGAAAAATTCTCACATAATATAATATTCCGTAGGATTAAATAGAGCAATTATTATTTTTTCTCTCACTTTTTTTGTCTCACTTATCAAGAGTCAATGAGTATCTCATGAAAATAAGGTGTCACAAAAATTTAGTGATCTACAGTAATCTAGATATCACCGTACCAAAGTTCAGCTGTATTCTCAATACAAACTCAGTACATGCATCTCCAACTCAAAGAAACCATAAAAATTTTGAGATGTTTGAGAAAGTAACTCTTTATCAAAGGTTTATAGAACCTTTTTTACTTGACCAAAGCATACATCTTATGAATCTACGTAAAACTTTGTACCTTGTAACAATTAATGTTGAACTCTATGGGACTTAAAATTTTTTTTCAAGATTTCGTAAAGTAAAATTCATTAAGAAAATCTGATTGGTATTTAAAATATTGATGTTAAAGATACTTAAGATTAGCTGTATCTCCATTCTTGTTCTTACCTTCAATTTCCTTGAATTTCTTAGATCTGTCCTCACTAAATCAGGTTTTGATGATAGTCATTCTGTAATAGAAGACTTCATGGAGACTATTCATTTATCAGCAGATATATATATTTGATATATAAACATGAATTGTTAAACATTTAAGTAAAAGAACATTCTTTGTTTTCTCAAGTACCTTATATATGCAGGAACAAGTATTGTGTATGCCAGGTAAAACTAGTCTTCAAATCTGTAAAGACACAAAATATATAAACAGATCATATAAAATCTGCTACATTCGTATACAGAACATATAATAAACATGCAGACGCCAGTCAGAATTCATTTTAAAATGACACTTTTTTTATTAATCCATAATATTATTCAGCAATTTGTTAGTTTAGGATTATTATTAAATATTCAACAGACACGACAAATCCGATCGTATAAACAATCATTTCGCTTCCTTCACCTCCATTGTCTACTCAAGACAAAATTTCAATAGCACTAAAATATTCATTTAAATTCTCCATTTTTTAAATGCTTAAACCTACACCCAAAATGAAATCTGATACTTGTAAATCCCTCTCCATGTCTGTTTTTTCTCTTTCCCTGAGTCTCGATGATCAATAATCCCACATATACATTGATGCCTTAGTCTTACAATCATCTAATTTAATTGATTTACATCTTGTTTGCGTACTCAAGGTACATTAATTAATTAAAGATCCCCTTCATAAGAGATTAATGGCAGAATGAATGCTTTGTGCACGTAATTTAAATATAAAACTAAATTCAAATTCAAATGAAAATTTTGCTTCAAAAATATTTAAAATTTGAGTAAATTCCCCCTAAATTGTCTTATCTAACATTCTAAGATAATTGTGTTTGTTATGATGTTATCATGGTTACATGTCATTTTATTATTGTATTGTGGAAGATATCAAATTAAATTAAAGTCAATGTATTAGTATTAATAATATCTTGACGTATGTGATAATTCAAAAGTCAACAATCAGACACCATACATGAAACAGTGTGATGGTTTTTACCCTTTTATAGTAGGTTTTAGTATATGTATGTCTCATTAAATGATTAAATAACATACTGATAGAGTCTTATAATTTTGAAACACTGGACAGGACTGGCATTGCATAGCAGTGTTTTCCAAAAGAAATGAAATGTAAGGGACATTTTAAAAGTAAAAGGATGGGGTTGAAGGGGCAACGCCAGAAGATCCATAGGAATGTCATTACAGGCTGAGGCTGGGAAATTTTCAAACCCAAGACTTACGTACAACCCTGCATTATATATGACAGTTTCTGTATGAAAGATATTTTCTTCTACCCTTTAACATGTTTAAAGACCTCATTCTACTTAGTAATCTAAAAGCACACCAATCAGATACGATATCCAAATATTTTTTCTACAAAATAAAACCCATGTACCTTAATTAACATGCTTACCTCTGAATGGTCTCAAAACCCTGTATTCCTTCACAACTACTGTATGTTCAATCTGGTAGTATCCTAGAATGAGTCGAATCTCTCAGCTTCTCAACTAAAAATAAATGACACCCACAAATAGATCAACCCTGACTCCAACATTTATAAGGATATTTTTATTTCACTTTTAGTTCCATGGGAATCTAGAGTCAAATACCAGTGTAAGATTTGATCTTGTTATATCAACAATAAGCCATTTAACTTTTTCTGTATCCCTACGTATATTAAAGTGACGTTTTCATTTATCCTTTTGTGCTAGGGCAAACAACAAAAAAAGCTCTTAGAATACAATTGCAGGTCTGCACTTGTGATTTATCTAAATAGGAAACAAAATATATGTAATTATATACCTATCAATAGATCAGAATTTTAAATCAGTTTAAAGGAATAAATCTTCACAGGTAAAAACTTCAAG